AGCTTCTTCATGGGAACAGGAGCATGCAGAGGCTCTCCTTGACAGCTGCGGAAGATTCGAGGGTCCAAGGTGTGATGTGATCGTCTGGTGGTGATGAGTGTCCGTGGGTGATGATGTTGCTGGGGTCATCCTAGTTAAACTGTTGGGTTTTGTTGTGTTTTAGGACATGTCTAATTTATTTTACGTTGAGAAAATATGTATAATAAATTCAGTAATAATTTGTCTCTCTAAATAATGAATTTTTTTTTCAAAAGAGACAGAGTCTCGCTCTGTCGCCCAGGCTGCAGTGTTGTGATGCGCTCACAGCTCACTGTGACCTCAAACTCCTGGGCTCAAGCGATCCTCCTGCCTCAGCCTCCCGGGTAGCTGGGACGACAGGCACATGTCACCATGCCTGGCTAATTTTTTTATTTTTTGTAGAGATGGGGTCTTGCTATGTTGCCCAGGCTGGTCTTGAACTCCTGGCCTCAGTCGATCATCCCACTCCGGCTTCCCAAAATGCTGGCATGAGCCACACCTGGCCAATAATGGATTTTTAAGCTATAACTCACATACCGTGTAATTCACCTATTTGAAGTATATAATTCATTGGTTTCTATCATATTCACAGAATTGTACAACCATCACCAAAATCAATTTCAAAACATTTTGTCCCCCCGACCCCCAGCACCGATTAGCAGTCACTCCCTTCTTCCTCCTACCTCTACCCCCCAGCCCCCTGCAACACCAGTCTGCTTTCCGTCCCTATAGATGGAAGGCTGTTCCGCAACCAGGATTTAAGACGTACCTTCCTTTTCTTAACGGAAGGTTTCCACAGATGGCTCGTATCAGTTATCTACTGCAGCGTAATAAATCACCCCCTAAGTTAGCAGTTTAGAACAAAACACATTTATTTACTCACAGTTTTTGGACAGGAATCCGGGTTCAGCTCAGCTGGCTCCCCTGCTTTGGGCCGTCCGGCGAGGCCGCAGCGTGTTGGGCAGGACCGTGGTCTGGTCTGAAGGCTCGGCCGGGGAAGGCTCTGCTTCCGGGCTCGCCCTCATTGTCATGGCGGGATTCGGTTCTTGGCGGGCTGTTGGACTCAGGGCCTCATTTCCTTGCTGGCCGCTGGCTGGAGGGACCCTCAGTTCCTTGCCACTTGGGCCACCCCACCATGACAGCTGACTTCGTTAAAGCCAGCTCGAGGGAGAACCCACTAACAAAACGGAAGTCAACATCTCTCGTCACCTAACTATGGCACTGACACGCCTGCAGCGTTGCTGTGTTCTTGTGGTTAGATGCGAGTTACCGACAGGGCAGAGACCACTCCAGGCCACGCACGCCAGGAGGTGGGGAACGCTGGGGCCGTCTTGGAGGCTGTGTACCAGAAGCCTGCCCTGCAGACCTCTCCGGAGTTTTCTAGGCTGCTCAATAGCTTCTGTGATCCATTTACTTTTTGCTTGAGCTGAGCAGAATCAATGACTCTCGTTTGCATCCAGACCGCTGCACTCGTTTGTTGCTTGCTGTTCTGTCATCTTGTGATTCTGGTACTTTTTTAAACAATTTTTAAAAATGGATGCAGCACAGATGTCCGTAGTCTTAGGATACAGATGATAATTTAATACATCCTTGTAATTTGCAAAGATCAAATCAGTGTACTTGGCATGTCTATCGCCTTAAATATTTGTGGTTTCCACTGATTCAGCACCTTTCTCTGTGAGGCATGAGCTACTTGGAAAAGTTACTGACATTGCCCATCACTCCTTTCCCCTCCCAAAGTTGTCAGTTCTGTGTCTGAATATCTTATTAGCTCAGAGCCAGTTAGTCTGCATCCATCAGAAAACTTGTCTGAGTATGAATCTCCGTGAAGATCATAGAAGAGAGATTAAGAACAGAGAATTAGCCCTGTCAAAACAGTCCTGTTAATGGGACGGCCCATAAATCCTCGCCTCCCACCCAGGGTTTCTGTGGTTTATCCTCATTTGGGCCATGACCAGGAGGCTGCTTTCCTCCCAAGAGGCTCTGCAGAATTTAAGCATCGGAAATCCAGTGCAAACTATTTTAGGCAAGGAAAGGGAGTGTGTTTGCTCTGGTAACTAGGAGAAACACTGAGGAGCCCCTCGGTGTCAAAGGAAGAACTGCAGAGCTCCAGGGCCTGCAGCCAGTGGTCAAGGCGGCAGCT